AACGAGCATTGCGGAATGCAAGATTGACCAATCAGCGATGTCAACAGGCGCTGCTAATAACAAGATTCCGGGAATAACGAAATACAATAATTTCTCTCTGACTTCTAAAAGCATGCGCGTCTGGCAAGCTTACAATGTTGGAGAGGGCGTGGATATAAAGGGGTCTTGGCATGAACAAGATGTTTCTGGGCTCGAAAGGATTGGGGAGTGGACGAAAAAGATACCGCGTGTTACACAAAAGAAATACCAGGTAAAGGGAAGAGGAGGGTGAAGACGAAGCGCTGGAGAAAGAGGATTACATGGAGCAACTAGTCGGGGTGGCTGAACAAGAGATTGGCCTCAAGCACCCTCTTGTATATGATGATTTCAATTTTTGTGATCTCTCTGCCGGGGGTAGATTAGCCAAGGTTCTGGAAAAGCAAAAACTCAGTCAGCTTCAGTCATTCTGCGAGTATTTTGACGTGGAAATTTCTGGTCGTGCTAATCGTAAAGCATCGTATTACGAACCTCTTATACAATTAGCAAATTCCTGTGATTGTCGCAAGTAAACAATTTTTTTTAGATTCTTCGACTTAAAACCCGCCTTACTTAAAAATCAATGAGTCAGTTAAGGTTGCGCGACTCGTCGACTTGGTCCATTCATCGCACTCTCGCGTCCAAGATGATACAATAACAATCACATCGCGAGGCGTTTCATGACTTTGTATGGGGGTGCTTCATATCAACATCAACACGAAAAAAGTTTATCATCCCGCTCTCCTAACTGTGGATCCCTTCTGTGGTTTCACTTACTGAGCGCTAAAGTATTTGGGAAATCTGATAGATCGTGGGTCACCTAGATGCTGATCATTGCGGCTCGTATATATGTACACTGTATCTACGTTTGGTCACGATTCGTTACTGTTGCAAGAGCTATTTAGGCTATAAAAAACGTCAGACAAAGATTATCGGTTAACGATCGTTTTGTAAGCTTACTTTATCTTTTAAAATATGGCTTGGAAAATTATGGGGACTTTCCATGCTTGCGGCAATACATGGAAATATGACCTGAAAAATATAAGTCAGAGAAAAACTCAAGTATTTTTATATGAAGGTAAGAACATTGTCATTTGTGCTCTATGACTGGTACAGTCAACACTCTCGTAAGCGACCACCCTTGATGCAGGACAAAGTGGTCGCTTATGCTGAGAGGTGGTCATCTACGGGAAAAAAATAAGAAATTAAGCTCAAACCGAAGTGATTTGAACGTGATTACATAAAATTATTACCTAACAAGCAAAAACTCAGGCAAACAGACAAATGCCAACAATGTCTCAAACCGAATGGCGCTTAGAACTGTTGAAAATTTGTACATAACATCTTTCATCAATGATTCAATCCAATTTTACCTATGGATCGTATTACAGCCTTTTTTGCTAGTCAACTGTTATAATCTGCGAGCACACTTGGTCAGCGCTTTTTGAAACTGAACTTTTGTGATATTTGAGCAATGGTTTTCTTACAGTCGTACGTGATCATGCCGGGTGATCGCTTACGAAAAGCCAGTTCGCTGTGACGAAGTTGGCTGTACTAGGTTTTCAAAGAAAAAAGTCACCCTTTTTTTGCCCAATGAAAGGCCTTTTAAGAGCAATTGTACGGTAAGAGTCGGGGTAATTCTGAACAATCAAACTGGTTTGGCTTTAACAATTCATTTTCACTTACCAAATACAGAATCAGGGCTTCATGTCAACAGTTTGGTTTGTTTATGGCATTAACTATGCTCAAAGTTCCATTTTGCAGGGCCTTAGAGGGGCATGGAGTGTTTGTGACAAAAATTTAACAAACCGTGATAAGCCAAATTTTTCTCAAGTGATTTTGATAATTGGGTCAATAAAGTAAATAATGGTATAGGTACGGATGTTATGCAAGAAGGCAGGTAGATACACTGATTTTTTGAAAAATGGCAATTTTGGGTTGTAATTTTGACATTAATTTTGGCCAAACTCTAGCCCCAGGCTCCTCTCTGTCCAATACCATGAGGGCAAAGTTACATGCATGAAATGAAAGCTCTATTATAGAAATATTCATAGTCAAATTCATTTGGCAGCACAATTTACCAGTTGGGTTTTATGGCACTTTCAAAATGACCCCTGAAAGGCTGGATTTTTTGTACTCAAGGGGCAAAAAATGAGACCCCCCCTGAAACTCTAAAACTTAAAGTCAGAGAAGTGAGCCAGATTGGCTTTTGAAATATCTCATGGCAACCAACTTCTGTGCCAAGTTTCAGCCAAATCAGTTGACCACAAGTTTTGGCCCCTGGAACACTTTCTCAGACAATGACACTTAAATGGCAGCGGAAGGCTGGGGAGAGGAATAAATTTATACCAAGGGGGCGGTCGACGGTCAAAAATAAGGAGAGGGGGAGGGGATAGAAATAAAAGATTTGTTTCGTTGAAGTTGAAATACCTTAAAAAATGAACTGCACTATTTCCTCTGCAGTGTTTGCCAAAAATATTTATTTAGAAGCACTTTACTAAGAGAGTTGTTTATACTTTCTAGGCAAAGTCCATTGGGTCCTTTTAGTTCATCGCAAAACTTTGTGATCCGCAAACCTCGATGATCATGATTGGTTGGTGGAGCATTTTGTTTGGCTGGTTTAAGTTTCAACTTATTTTTGTTTGACTAAATTAACGTCATGTGTGAACATTTCCATGTAAAAGCATTTTGAGTTGATAAAACAAAACCTGTACTGTAAATCCTGTTGAGTACACACCTCAGGGCGTCAGCTACTAATCTGTAAATTTCTTGTACTTCCTCTTGGACTGGAATATTGGCGATTCTTACAAAGTGTTAATGTTTTTAATCAAATGTAATGTCACAGTGAGGCAAAAGGTTCAATTCGTTAGCATTGTAAAAAGCGTATTAACAATTCAACTGCATGAGCCTGATTTGAAATATCAATGCATTAACAAGGGCGTGGTCAGGATCTTCTAACAGGGGGTCCTTTTACTCTGTTTTTGTCGGAAGCTGAGGGCAGAGAGGCATTACAAAAGTTTTTATCATAATTTGTTAAATTTTCGTGACAAACAGAGAGGTAACATACTCCCATATTACCGAGAAAGATGTTGGGTCTCGTTTGACAATGCCTTTATTAAGATTGGCCTTAGTGGAGGATTAAATGAATACATTTTATCCTCAGAATAGGAGAAGAAAGAAGGACTTTCTTAAAAATCTAGCGACAAGCTAAATAAGTAGTGAGTAGTGAGTGAAAACGAATTCTAACAAAACTAATAACCCAGTGTGAAAAACGAGCAGCTTACTAACAAAGCATGAACAACGTAAGCCACGTGTTACAAGGTTGCAAAGAAACTGATATAAAAAACTGGGCGAAACTACCGAAAGACTAGATGTTTAAACAAGCACAAAGAAAAGGAACATAAGCACTTACAGTCCCGCTTGTAAGAGTTTGACCAAAACGAAGCTAAGGTGGGCAAAAGGTGCTCTCCCGATAAACACGTCTTATCGTTAGCCCAAAGCAAGACAACTAACTAAAATGCTGTTCTTGGTGGAACTTAAAGATCACGTCCCTAATGGACAAACAGTAACGTCACTATTGCGGTTTAACACGTTTAATACGAAACAAACTTAAAACGAATCAATGTCCGGTGGCAAAGGCGTGGCAGCCGTTACAGAGCACGTCTATTGACTTGAATCGGAGAGGTGTTTATTGCTCAATGTTTGCTTGTGATGATCGCATGGATTTTTTTGTTGTTGTACGCGCTACATGGACTTTTAAAGCTACAAACCTCAAGTCGCGAGAGAAACTCTAAATATTTTCACAGCATAATGATATTTACCACCTGTTTCGTTGTCCGATTTAAATATCACCCCTGCGCCGTATCTCACCTCGCAATTTTTGTCAAGCGCCCACCCAGCTCTCACACATTGGTTCAATAAGGTCTCGTTTCCAATTATGGCAGTTAAACACAATTTTTTGACTTAAAATCTTGGATATTCACATTTCTGTCTGGTAGCCGGTGAAGTATTTTAATGGTTTGATAAAGCTAGCCGCACAATCAGTCTGTAAAAGTTTTCCGTTGTTTACTCACGGACTAAAAACTTTAATTGAAATTGGACTAAATGATTTAAGACCTACCTTTCTTCGCATTCTGTTTCTGACTGCTGCGAAAAATATTCCCTTTAACATGCGAATGTAAAAGAACTTATCCAAGACGTTACAAAAACCATCTTGGCCTTCGTAATGGTGGTCTTGATTCTGATTTACAATTAGATTGCGTCATTATAGCAGCATTTTATATAGGCGCGCGCCAGAAACAGAAATGCAAGGTGGGTGTCCGCTGACTTCTAACCGTGGAATAATCCAGTGTGGCTCCTCGCAACACAAAATTGCTTTTGAGTGGAATTTTTGACAAAATGTTCCAAACATTTAGCTCTAACAAAAGAAACGCTCAAATCGGCTCTTTCCCGATATTCATCAATTACAAAATTCTAAGCGTTCTTTATCTAAAATTCCTGCCTTTGGCACAATTTTGTTGATAGGAAATAATAAAAATATTCTCGGTTTCAGCGACAAACATTAACCGATTTCAAGCTGATTCGATAAAGAACATCTCGCGTCCCTCAAAGAATTTGATTTTAACTCCTGTTCAGCGAGTTAAAACGCCGATGGCCGTGAAGAAAGTTTTGATCAGCGAAGTGTCTTGGAGATACAAAGCATTGTAGTTGGGGAATAAACCTTCTTTCCAACTTCTTTCTTACTCTGTTCTAACCCAACCATATGCAAAATACTCTAATAACAGGCTGACTAATAAGAATTGCATAATTCAACAGATTCAAAGTTGCAGTAGTGTCTTCAGTGTATCTATTCCAAAGAGGTTTTCTATCTTTGTTTATTTAAATTTGATGCAGCAGTTGCTGAGAAGCAAATTTTGAAATTTTTACATAACCGTCTTTAAGGGTATAGCTATCTTGTGGTGGCATTACTGTTTATGAAGGTGGGTATGGCCCGCCCCCAAGCCAGCTTTCCCAAAGGGAGTGCTGAGGGCTTAACGTCAAGGCCAGTGCCCGCATGCATCCCAGCCACCACTTTATCCCAAGGTGAGTTGCAAATGACTCTGTGTGTGCACCAGCGCTAATCAATAAGGAAATTTGCTCGCGATTTTCTCTAATGACACGAGCAGTGATAGAAGTCGCAAATAAATCCGTTGGGGTTGAATTCTTCGACTGAAATCAAAATGTAGTCTCTTTGATAAATTTTTTTTATTATCGATATAAAAGAAAATTTTTTGTTATGTTTTTAAAGTGTTAGATAAGTTCAAGCTACGACGAGGTTTTAGTTTCTTTGTCAGGTGAGTTTCAAGTTTGCCGGCCATCAGGTGCACCTGAAAAATTTACAGTGATTTTTGGTCAGTCCAAATTTAACCTATAAACGCCATGTTGTACGCTTAAGCTTCACTCAAGGAATTATATTTCTGTTAGTAATTCTTAACACTAATTAGTGCCAGCTCTTGCTTGTTGTGTGACCGCGAAGGCGACGAGAGCGTGACAGGAAACGGGTGCATGGGAAATGACTTCATGATCGGATCAAACGCTCTTTACATGACACTAGTCAATAACTCGTCAACCAAAAAACTTACTAAACTTTGAATTCATATGAAATTTCTTAACAAGCATCCAACACTATTAAGAAGTTTGAAAGAACCTCTCAGTAGAATTTCTGTAAAAATTCCTGACTACCGAACATTTAGTCAATGAGACTGTGCGTGGCTGCTGGGAAGTTAGACTCAGCGTTACATTCATATTTGTGACCTACTCCGCTCCTTAACACGAAAATGAAAAAGCTGAAGATTTATTTGACATCCAGTTCCAGCATGACGATTGAAAAGTAAAATAGAATGCAGGACCAAAAAATAGATTCGTGACTTACAAATTTAACAAATGATACACCATTTTTTGTTTTCAGTTTAATAAGCTCGTAATTGTATTCAGCTTCTTCGAAACTGCTCGTGTTACCAAGTATACCGTTTTGTTATACGCTTGCGGGGAAAATCACAATTTCACAAGAGTTGCAGGTGAGTACTGGATTAATGACTAAATACAAATGAACAAAATTTAAACTTAAGACGAAAGAATCGGAGAAATATGACATTAATTCGTCGTAAGCGAGGGAGAAAGAAAAATATCTAGCTTCCCTCGAGGATTCGAACCTCGACATTCAAATTTTATGATCTAAAGCTCAAGTCCAAAGCTACAAAAGACCTCGTTAGTGAGTCAAGACATACGCTGGGTTCGTATTTGACAAAACTTCCCGCATTCTCCTGGCATCTGAATTGTCGAGAACGTCATGTCTGAAAGTGGATTAAGAAAGAGAGTAAAGTTCAAGCTCCATCGTCAAATGAAGAAATTAAAAACATCAAGATCTACGGGTTTAGAGATTGAATCCTCGAAGATGCTTAGATTCTCTTAATTTTTTATCCGTGACGGATAAAAAGATTTTTCTTTATTCGACCCCGAGAAAAAAACTTCTCCTCTCTCTTTATAAGTTTGAATTCGATGAAGGAATTATTTCTCAATGCTGACACTAAGATAAACATAATAAACATTGAGGTAGCTGATTTATCTGCCCAAGAGAGATTTATGAAACTACAGCATGGCTGATTCCAGTGTTATGTGCACCGCTTGTGCTCCTGGTACAATAACAGTATAACTCGTAGGTTGTCTTCATCCTTGTCAATTCAGTTTTATATGGCAGAAACTGTCCTGCTCAGGAGAATTGAAAAATAGATTTTGATTGCGGATGGCCTGTGTCCTCCATTGAAAGAAATATAACTGAGCCTAAGTCGCAGGATGAAGTAATAGGAATACAGAAACATTAAAAATATACACATAATTCAAGAGAAAGAACAAAAACAAAGAAAAAGACGAGCACGAGAACTTTAATGAAGTAGAAGAGCAATTTTAATATCTAAACTGGACATTTGAAGAGATTTGTTATTTACTCGTGACAAGGGATTATAGACTGATCTATTGCTCGTTAATATGAAATCTTTCATGGTTCCATCGAAATTTTAGTAAAGCTTAACGTATTATTCTTGATATTTTCAGGTATATAGAAATAATAATGACAACTTTTGGAGGATAAACCGATTCAGAGGATGGCGATTTAACAGGTACTAAACAGTTTTCATATTATGAATTACTATAGTGTAATTGTTTCGATGATTAGTCTCAGGGATTATTCAACAATATTCACTGAGCCTGCGGCGAATAATTGTTAATCATGACACGTAATACCCCGCAACTGGCATGGACATGCTTGATCATGAGCTTAAGAAGGCGTAAATCCGGCCAAGTTCCTTCTCAGGATTGTTAAGGACCGAGACGATGGTTTCGTCAATGAGGGATATATTATACAGAAAAATTATTTATATAAACCAAGAGGTTACCAAAATGAATGAATCTGCGGGACTCGTTATAGTTTTCTTTATTTTGACTTACAAGGAGATATATTCGTGGCTCCTTTGTATTTAAAACTTCTGGAAAACGTTTTATGTTTGTGAAACAAAAAAATGTCTGGTTAAGAAATTACAAAGTGATGAACCGGCTACAAGCACATCATTTCTTTTTTTCGACTTCAATGTGGGAAATCCTGAGAGAGCACATCACACCCTCTCAGGTAGCTGATCAGAACACAGCTGGATTCGCCTTAATCTTGTTCGCTCGTGGGTTACACCACATGAAAATAACAAAAAAAAAGACGAGAAGTTGGGGTAACGTGATAAAGAGCGAGGTGACATAAAAATGAAAACTTTCACCCCCAAAATTTTAATTATTACGAATTCTTGATCATGTATGAAAATGAAACTTCGCCAGCGTTACCATTTATTTATTTATTTATTTTTTTGGAAGCTTTGCAAACATCGTTCGACCTCCTCAAAAAATAATATTAATTTTTTCTTCAACAATTTAAACTACTCATCCAAAAGGTGATTTGTCGTATTTCGCGGTTTGGTCGGAATTCGGTTTTGGCGGGAATTCTCTCTGCGCAATGACGAACTACATTAGCTCATGTGTTTACTTCGGAAGGTAAACATTTAGGCTCTGAAAATGCTAATGGTTGCATAGAATCCTGCTCCGAACAACGCGGAGAATACCACGCCTGTCTAACAAGAGAAATTTCCTTATATTCCCTTTAAAATTAAACAGCAACAGATTATTTTATGTCAGCAATACATTTACAGATATTTTTTAATTTCTCCATAGTTTTGTGATATCTGAAGGTTTTTCCAGTTTTATTTCGGTTTCAAATGCTCCTATAATCTGGCAGCAAAGTCTCTCGATGGCCTACAAGATGCGAGAACCAGCGCTTGGTTCTCCACTTACTTTTGATGTGTAAGCAGATTATTGTTCTCGATAGCCAGAAGGCCGATGCAAAGATAAATATACAGCTCCTAAAATACCATCTTATTCAGAAAATTCTGGATCATAATAAATTACAAATGAAAAAGGAAGACTTTTCTCAAAACACATTTTGTCACGGGTTAGTGGCTTCCGGTCATTCATGATTACTTAGCTCTCTTCAGAAGAATATTTGTGGAATATATTGTTCGCTGGAGCCTTTTTCACACTTTGGAAAAACGCACTGATAACTCTGATTCACGAGAGCTATGGAAAATTCGCTAGAAAATACGTAAACCAAATGAAATCTTACTCTCGCTCTAATTAGTTGATAGTTATGTTTAGATGATCGTATGTAAACGTGTTTCTTTGCATAATAGGCTGCGGGATTTTGGAAGAACTCGTGACAGTTGTGCAAACCCTTGACTGCGTTTTGAGTTTGTAAAATGCGCCGTACAACTCGAAGATTCAACAACCTCGTTTCACGGGAAACCCACAGGCATTACACTGCTGTCCGTATCCGGAGAGTGGGGAATTTTTTAAGCAAAATCCCATCACAACAGCATGAGGGAGAAAACTTTGAAATTCTCACTCTTTCGTTTTATCTAAGTATCAGAGACAAGTTGGTTTCCGCCTTTCTTTTTGTATTATTTTCATTTAAGTATCCTTTTTTGTTTCGTGAGGATGTTTTCAAGCGCAGTAAAATTCTATTCTATTTTATTTCCAGCTATGGCGGAGAGTAAACTTCGGACAACGGGAGAAGGACTGGATTTGAACAATGAGATTCGGGTCACAGGTGAGAGAGAGCCATAGAAAAACACTGCTACATGGTCATTTTGAAGCGGTTGTGATGTTTAGTGATGGAATAGTTAAGTACATCTTTAGTGGGCATTATCAAGAGTGGCAAGTCTGGGACTGGAAGTACAGCGGTAATCCGCATAAAGATTCAAAATGGCCGATGACATCACGGAAAAAGGAACTGAACACCAGTTTTGACCTAGCGCTTTTCAAACTCGGTCGTCATAATTTGAGCAATTCGCATGGACTATAAATGAATTTTTATGCATAATAATTCATTTTAATGAAGTTTTATTTTTCATATTTTTGCGTTTTCTCTGGCAATAGTAATAATGTTTATCAAATGATCGAATTTCAGGGACAAACGAAAGGCAAGTGACATCAAATGACACCAAACTGGAGGTGTACGATGATCCATTAAGAGGTGAGAAATTAGATTCTTTAAAAGACGCCTCGGTATGGTTTTTAACTAAGCACATTTTTATTAAATTTTTTTACCTATTCTGTGAATAACTTTTGAAACAGAAACTATATGTTCGAATTTCAAACTTTATCACCAGAACAAACACTGAATTTTTTTTTTGCGTGGGTCACGAACAAGCTGTCAGTGCGAGGTGTACAATTGTATACATATACATGGAATGAAAATCATCATTAAATCTATTACCGCGAGAAATAAGAGAAAAATGTAATGAAAAAATTAGTATCGTACTCAGTATCAGGGAGGGATTTGAGTCAAAATCAAAGAAAATGTCGAGAATGCTTCTCATTTACACCACGTGCACTTTTGCAGTTGCATTATAAATTATGAATCACTACTCTTGCTAAAGATATCCTGATACAATTTAAAAACATTTGAGATAAAACACTTGCAAATAAGGTCGAGAGGAGACTGATCGTGGAAATCAAATGGACAATAACGTTTGCAAAAAGTTTTATCTGTTCTGCGTTCTTTCAAACACACCACACCATATATGGCCAGAGTTCCCGAATTTCATTGGTCTGGAGACCATTTGAAGTGATTCAAAACATCATCTTAGAGTTAACGGTTTATAAAACTTATAGATATCAGTGGGGTGAGGGTTAATGGTCGGCGGGCCCATGTATACAGTAACCGACTGTTCAAAAAGAACGAAAGGCCTGTAAAGGATAGGAATTAGAAAGGGGATCTAACGACATGAAAACGAAACCTTGTTAAAACGAAATCATTAATGTTAAACCGGTGTGTTTTCAGATATAGCAAGAGTATGTCTCGAGGAAGGTAACAAAGAATACAGACAGGAAGAACATCAAAACGCGATAAACTCCTACTCGGAAGGTCTTCAAGTGAACTGCGAAGATATACGGCTGAACGCCAAGCTTTATAGCAACAGAGCAGCAGCTCATTTCCATTTGGGTAAGAATCTTTTTAAAACTACTAAATTCTTCATGGAATGTACTCCGTGAAGTTAATGAATGTACATTCTGCACCCATTTTAAACGGGATTTTATCCTCGCCTGCTGTCTTCCCTGCCATTTTTGCATCCTTTTATCGCCTGAATATTGAAATGAAACTGGCAACTTTAATATTTCATGTCGATCGCACACGTGGAAATTCTCCATTAGGATGAAATTCTCCTGCAAAGTTTCATCGCAATTGTGAGATATTCTTACCGTAAATTATGAAAAGTATACTTGCCAAATAAATTGCAAAGCAACTAATAAGAATATCGAAATTCCCACACAGGTTCGAAGACCAACATCTCAGGACTGATGTTGTGCGGAGGTTTATCCGTTCTGTGGTTAAAATTAATTACGCGTCTAATTCACTCAGTATAACATCTTCCATTTCGAATTGTTGCGTCTCAGCCGGCTTACGATTATATCAAGCTAAAACGGAACAATTTAGTTTATGATGGTTACCCCTCAAAAAGTGCGTATCCTTAAATCAAGGTGGTAATCCTCTTACGTGACGTCATGTCCTCCCTCGCCAGTCGTTGTGACTCATATTCTGCTGACTCGACCACCGAAATAATGGCTCGGCCATCTGCCAACTTAAGAATCAATCACTTTTTTAAAAGACGAATTTTATGGAGAAAAAAGCAAGGAATCCTCTCAAAAGATGCCCGGAAAAGCAATCAAATATGAGCAAAGCACTTACAGGGTCATATAGTCTAAAGTGAAGAGAAGCTTTAGAAAAACCGAAATTCCTAGATCCGAGTAATCTACTCATATTTTATTCAAGTCTTCAAGGTTGCAAAGAACAATACTTTTTCCGAAACACATCGTTCCCAAAGGAGAATTAAAATAATTTGTAATACAGCACTCAGGAAATTCGGGTATGCGTCGGCTTATTCAGCATAAGAAGGCAACTCCAGCGATGGACTAATATGATACCAAGGAAGCGTAGAGCTGCTTCTTTGATAAGTAAACCACCAACTAAAAATCAATATGAGGAGAATTGCCCTGAGATGAACTCTGTGAGTTTCTTGTGATCATACCCAGTTGCCAAGTTTGAAATATCTAAAGGACAAGAGGCGAAAAACGAAGGTGTTTGACCACATTCTCCTAATGTCGTATGTAAATCTGGGTCAAATCTGGGTCAAAATGTGAACCTTATCTCCCCCAATTTTACCCGATAAAATGATTTTCTCCTGGTTTTAACTAAGGCCAAGTCTAGGACAGGTATAAAGACGGATACGTAAATTGGCACGTGATGACGACTGACACTTAGTTCCTGAATTCCTTAGGAAACTACGAAGAATGTCTCAATGATGCAACAGTTTCTGTTCAGTTGGAACCCAATTTAATCAAAGCTATTAAGAAAGGTGGGTGTTGCAGTCAAAATTCATCAAACCACTTTGCTGTGGTTTCTTCAAGAGAATTGTATGGATTACGGCAGCTGACTGTACCTCGGGTATCAACAATAACTGGTCCGTAAATGTTTGCTATGTAGATAAAAAGTGCAAGTTAAGGTCAGTGAGCTATAAATGAAAATTAAACCAGTAATGGTTCATTTACACCAAAGATTAAACATGTTTGAAGTCGTTTTGTTAAATACAGTTTAAATTTTTTCTTCATAGAATTAGTATAAACCGATGTTAGTCGACTTCACATATAACATATTGAAAATGCAAATAAGCGATTGTATGAATTCTATGGAAAATTCAGTTTTTCAGTCCTCTCTTTCTGGTTTTCATTCAGTTAAACCCGGTTTGACTAAAAATGTTTTGCTCATGTGAATGGGGTGTGAGACGATTTTCTGGCTACTTTTATATGTGGATAGTAATTAATTAGATACCTCACGTCATTACCTTCTCAGCCGCCAGTGCTTGCGTGGAGCTTTGCTTGTACAAAGAAGCAAGGAGCTGGCTACATATGGGATTGGCCGTATCCTTTAACGAGTGTTTCAAACGTTATACGCAAAGAAATGCAAGCAGTTTTCACTAACACCAAGCTGAGCAGTTAAAAGAAACTAAAATATTTTCAGTTATTCCAAAACATTTCATTTGACAGAAGGGGCATTTTATCTAATTCGCAGAACGCCCCTCATCAGTGTCTCTCTAAGAATATCAGCAGGACGCCCAAACCAAACAATGATTACGCCTAGTGAGCTTGTTAACACTTATATTAATATTCACTCTGGTAAGAAAATATTTAAAATAGGAAATCGTCAAAAGAAATCCACTTTCGACAGGTATGTCCTTTTCTAAGGTTTGTTTAGGGAATAGCGCATGTTTTTTAGGGGTGTTTGAGAAAAACACCGCGAGAGCGATGTTCCAAAATTCTGCAAAATACCACGAGCTTCCATTAAAAGAACGTCCAGTGACGCTGACATTAACCCCAAACTGTCTGACTTATAGTCCGAGTCGTCATTCTTTCTGAGATAAAAACTTCTTCAGATTCACATCAATTTCCTTGGCTTCGAAGCTCATAATATCCAGACGGATCCGTTTTTCTTCAGCCCACGTCGTCCGAACTGTTGGCCACATAAAGGTCTTTTTTTTTGGTGTTTACATTTGCTGCATTTTCTATAAATTCTTGAAGCTTTTTCGATTCACAATCTGGAAATATTTCAGCCATTGTTTCAAAATTAGAATCAGTATCATTTCAGTTAATGTAAAAATGCAAATTTTAAATGTAAGGTTCTAGGATTTGACTGACATACTTATTTTCTCAGCGATTCACATACATGAAATGTCTCAACTTATAGAATTGTACCTCTAATATTTTTATTTTTATTGAAATTTGTTCACATCCACTCATCAGTTATTTATTCTTAACCCATATAAGATTGAGAAGGATAACAAACCTCTGCTTCACTTACTGAGCAAATCTCAAACATTAATAGAGAGCCACGAGTGTATTATGGGAAATGCCAAAGTAGACAGAGAAAAGACCGAAGAGGGAATCCGTTGTAACCTTCTAGGAATAGCTCATTATAATCAAGGACAGTTCAAAACAGCAATCGATTACCATCAACGTCATCTAGAAATTGCTAAAGAAGTGGGAGACAAGGCCGGAGAGGGAAACAGTTATGCCAATCTCGGCTGCGCTTATGATAGTCTAGGACAGTTCAAAACAGCAATCGATTACCATCAACGTGATCTAGAAATTGCTAAAGAAGTGGGAGACAAGGCCGGAGAGGGAAACAATCTCGGCTGCGCTTATCGTTCAAAACAGCAATCGATGTCATCTAGAAATCTCAAGGCTCTCGGCTGCTTATGATAGTCTAGGACAGTTCAAAACAGCAATCGATTACCATCAACGTCATCTAGAAATTGCTAAAGAAGTGGGAGACAAGGCCGGAGAGGGAAAGAGTTATGCCAATCTCGGCTGCGCTTATGATAGTCTAGGACAGTTCAAAACAGCAATCGATTACCATCAACGTCATCTAGAAATTGCTAAAGAAGTGGGAGACAAGGCCGGAGAGGGAAAGAGTTATGCCAATCTCGGCTGCGCTTATCGTGGTCTAGGACAGTTCAAAACAGCAATCGATTACCATCAACGTCATCTAGAAATTGCTAAAGAAGTGGGAGACAAGGCCGGAGAGGGAAAGAGTTATGCCAATCTCGGCTGCGCTTATCGTGGTCTAGGACAGTTCAAAACAGCAATCGATTACCATCAACGTCATCTAGAAATTGCTAAAGAAGTGGGAGACAAGGCCGGAGAGGGAAAGAGTTATGCCAATCTCGGCTGCGCTTATGGTAGTCTAGGACAGTTCAAAACAGCAATCGATTACCATCAACGTCATCTAGAAATTGCTAAAGAAGTGGGAGACAAGGCCGGAGAGGGAAAGAGTTATGGCAATCTCGGCTGCGCTTATGATAGTCTAGGACAGTTCAAAACAGCAATCGATTACCATCAACGTGATCTAGAAATTGCTAAAGAAGTGGGAGACAAGGCCGGAGAGGGAAACAGTTATGGCAATCTCGGCTGCGCTTATCGTGGTCTAGGACAGTTCAAAACAGCAATCGATTACCATCAACGTGATCTAGAAATTGCTAAAGAAGTGGGAGACAAGGCCGGAGAGGGATCTAGAAATTGCTAAAGAAGTGGGAGACAAGGAAGGGAACAGTTATGGCAAACAGTTATGGGAGAGTAAAGAAGTGGGAGACAAGGCCGGAGAGGGAATACTTATGGCAATCTCGGCTGCGCTTATCATAGTCTAGGACAGTTCAAAACAGCAATCGATTACCATCAACGTCATCTAGAAATTGCTAAAGAAGTGGGAGACAAGGCCGGAGAGGGAAAGAGTTATGGCAATCTCGGCTGCGCTTATCGTAGTCTAGGACAGTTCTCGATTACCATCAACGTCATCTAGAAATTGCTAAAGAAGTGGGAGACAAGGCCGGAGAGTTGTTCAAAACAGCAATCGATTACCATCAACGTGATCTAGAAATTGCTAAAGAAGTGGGAGACAAGGCCGGAGAGGGAAAGAGTTATGGCAATCTCGGCTGCGCTTATCATAGTCTAGGACAGTTCAAAACAGCAATCGATTACCATCAACGTCATCTAGAAATTGCTAAAGAAGTGGGAGACAAGGCCGGAGAGGGAAACAGTTATGGCAATCTCGGCTGCTCTTATGGTCGTCTGGGACAGTTCAAAACAGCAATCGATTACCATCAACGTCATCTAGAAATTGCGAAGGAAGTGGGAGACAAGGCCGGAGAGGCATCCTCACTCTGTTCTCTTGGAAGTTATTTTGAGTGCCAAGGAAATCTCAAGAGGGCTTCTGACTGCTTTCACTCTTCTGTAGAGGGGTTTGATAGTATCAGGGCCGGTCTGCGATTCAACGATCAGTGGAAGATTTCTTATCGTAATCAGCATAAAAGTGCATACACAGGCTTGTGGCGTATAAACCTAATTCAAAATGAATTTGTCAACGCTCTTCTTGCCGCAGAAAAAGGACGTGCTCAAGCTCTAAAAGATCTGCTAGAAGCAAAATATCAGCCCCGATATTCTTCAAGGAACAGCGTCTCGTTCCTTACCCTGAGTTTTGTTCCATTAGGTACGGTTTTCATAGCTATCAGTGGACCGTGCGTTTACTACTGGGTTTTCCTTAGCGACGATAATGTCCAGTTGAGAAAGGTACATGTCAACAATTATAAGTATCAAGAGGAACTGGAATTTTTCATCGAGCAACTGAACAGAACTGCCTTGAAGGAGATCGATTCAAGAGATGCTGTTAAATACGAAAATCCTTCCCATGACTCGCTGAAAGCGGAGGAAGCAGCGAATGATATGATTCAAATTGATGTAAGGAACTCGCAATTAAGTGCTCTACAGAAGCTTTATGACATCATCGTTACTCCTATTGCTGATCTGATCGAAGGAAACGAGCTTACGGTTGTTCCTGAGGGACCATTTTGTCTTGTGCCTTATGCAGCATTGGAGGACTCGAAGTCAACTTATCTGAGTGATTTATTCAGAATCCGCGTGCTTCCGTCCCTGACGACCTTACAACTAATCAATGATTGCCCAGCTGAATTTCACCTGAAGAGCGGTGCATTGCTTGTTGGCGACCCATGTTTTGAAGAGATCATCTATCAAGGAAGACGGTTGGTACAACTTCCGGGAGCAAGGAAAGAGGCGGAGATGATTGGACGAATCCTCAGTATTTCCCCTCTCATTGGAGAAATGGCAACAAAAGATGAAGTGTTAAAACGACTCTCATCAGTGGCTTTAGTACACATAGCAGCACATGGTAAAATGGAAACTGGTGAAGTTATCCTGGCACCAAACACCACAAGAGAAACCCCTCAACCTCAAGAGAAGGACTATCTACTGACGATGAAAGATGTCATGGAGGCTGGGCTGCGGGCGCGACTGGTTGTTCTAAGCTGTTGTCACAGTGCTCGTGGGGAGGTCATGGCCGAGGGTGTGGTTGGCGTCGCCCGAGCATTCTTGGGTGCTGGCGCTAGAGCTGTTGTGGTAACCCTGTGGGCGATTGCAGACGAAGGAACCCTGGAGTTCATGAGTTTCTTCTACGATGCACTTGCTAAAGGCAAGAAGGCAAGTGAAGCTCTCAATCAGGCCATGAAGTGTTTGAGAGAATCCGAAACCTTCAAGGAGGTGAAGTACTGGGCACCATTTGTACTCATTGGTGATGACGTCACACTTGATTTCAACGACATCTAGTTGCTGATCCATGTAATTATTCTTTTCATAACATTTATGCACTACAAAGTAACTTTAAATCCAAATTAGAGATACATATTTGATCATAAATGCTTTTTTTGTTATCTTGCTGTGTAAAGTTTGGGAGTTTCTTTTTTTCCCGAAGAAATTGAAATGCTTTTAAATTGAGTGGGCACAGACTTTTTCTTAGATAATTTGATAGGAGTGAAAAACAGTTTTCTGCTATAATAATTGTTGGGCAGTTTATCGTTTCATGTCGTAAGGCCGAATGAAAAATTTTAGATGATCTCAACGATTCTCCCTGAATTATAATTTTTTTTACTTTTCAGTTAAGGCAGTGAGAATTGGAGCTGTATCATAGAAAAGACAGAACCCAAGAAAGTAAAAAGTTGCCCGCAAGCGTTCATATTTGGAGCAGAAACCACAAGGCTACCTATAAAATCTCTGTAAGAGTCCTCTACTGAGAGCAGGAGAAGCGAAAGAGCCTTCAAGAGCCCATATGGATCTCTGTTTTTGCAAAAGTTGATTCTCCACGTCTTAAATGCTCTTATGAGCTATAAGGATTTTGGACACGCAGAAGAAAAAAGACTTTGCATTTTTTTATTTTTAATGAACTGTTCGAACTAGCTTAAAAGTAATTTTTTTAAATTAGTGATGTATTGAAATCATCATCACATTTTTTTATCTAAAATGAACGAGGTTGTTATCTGTAAACAAGTTTTAGGTGTTATATTTACGTTCAAGTTGAAACACCTTGAAAACGTTTTCCCAAAATGTTTTTGCAATTTTTTTTTCTCAATCGGTTTTTGCCTTAAGGTTTATATAAAGTATTGCAGCCACATGCGTGTGTAAATATTTCCATAGACGTTGAAAAATAATTGGTCGTTTGGTCGTTTGATTGTTAAATTAGCTTAGTTACAGTCGAATGGAAATTTCAATTAACTTTTGGAGGAATTTTTCCTAGTTATAATTAGTTCTTGTGTCACGAACATCAGATTTTTTCAATCGGTTTTTGCCTTAAGGTTTACATAAAGCTATTAAAGCCATATGTTTTTGTAAAGATTTCCATAGAACTTGAAAAATAATTGGTCGTTTGATTGTTCGATTATCTTAGTTTCAGTCGAATGGAAATTTTAATTAACTTTTGGAGGAATTAGACCTAGTTATAATTAGTTCGTGTCAAGAACATCAGATTTGTTGGAATTAAAATGGCACAATTTTTTAAGACCTGTATTTAATCCTAGTATTACCGATACTACGACAGATTTTTCCTACGCGTTTGAATGCTATAAAGTGTTCATGAACACTCTGTTTAAGCGAATTTTCCAATTGCAAACCGAGAGGCTGGTCGGACAAGCAGGTTCACTGATTTGGCTCAAATTTTGCATGTAGACTCGGCTAGGGGTTCTAACGCTAAATGGATATTTTAAGATTGAACGGTC